TTGTACGGGAAAAAATATTTTCAATTAAAAGTGCAAATATCAAAAAAAAAAAAAAAAAAAAAAAAGGAAGAAAGAAAGAAAATACTACCTTTATCTTTCTGTATCTTGTCAGACATATAGCTATAGATACACCCTAAAACCAACCAAAAAAGTGTTTGAACTCCACCAATCTTTTTGTATTGGTTCTATTTTTATTTTTTTTCAGTATTTATTGGAATATACGTTGAAACTCCTTGGCTTTGTGCTTTTGCAGACATGGGTGAATTTCTAGCCCATGATGATACAGGATAATTATACTTCCATACCAGCTTCAACCAGCATCCTGACAAGCTCTTTTGTTCTTTGTTTTTTATTCTACACTCTGATTGGTCATATCTGCATATCTGTGGCACTTATACGCCTTGTTCTATTGGAACACATCATAGTCTCTAAAACCTCTTACAGATCATCCTTTTGTTCTCTGATCTACGAGTTGATCATGCCGCTCAATCTACTCACAGCTCCCAACTCAGAATAGAGGGTTAAAGTCCAACCAACAAGTCGTAAAACAGGATAGTATGAAGCAAAGGCAGCAGCTACATCCCTCTGCAGAGCATGGCATTTTATAGAAATATGTTAATGTAAGAATTTAATGTACACAGAAATGTGCAAAGGATGATGCACTGAAACTTTGAGGATCTCAAAAGCTCTTTCAAAAAATTTAAAAGAAACTTGTATATACATATTATATAACATATATATGAAAAGGTCTGTTGAACGATTCATCTCAAAGGTCAGGATTATGTGGAGACCAGACAGATGTTTTTTTTTTATCCCATGCCTTTATCTGCGTTTTTATGGACCATGCTTTGGACACTTTTGCACAGAAATTCACCATCTCTAAACTGTTCCCATAAAGCTGGAAGCATGAAACGTTCTAGAATGTCTTAATGTGCTGATTCCCTTTCACTCAAACCAAGGGTAGATCCAAACTCCATCAATTTCTTTCCACATCAAAGTTTGGTCTTGGCACAATAAATTAGGCAAGTGCTGTTACCTTGGCAACTACCTAACGCTGATTTGTACTGACCCTGTATTACCAGACAGAGGCATGATTCATCCCTCCAGGAAACACATCTCCATTGTATGCTTTGCAGCACTGCAAGTGAAACTTTGTATTAGATCTGTGGTCAACTGACTCAGTGGGAAGAATAGTCGTCTTACAATTTCTAAGGATGTGGCTTTGATGCCAAAGGGAAGAGCAGACGGAGATGGCACTTCTAAACCAAATTTGCTAACCATTCTGCTTTTTGTTGTGTGAATGTAACTGACTGAATGTGGCTCTTGTGGAGAGCTGTTTGAAGGTTCAGTACAATTAAAAAGGTGCTGTATAAAGTCTATCCATTCACTCTAAAATGTGACGTGAAAGAAGCTGCATTGCCTTAAAATCTTCTTCCATTAAACTGCTGAGCTACTCTGAAGGCCATAAGGCCTCTTGGCACTATGGACCCTGACGTAGGTTAAAGGAATAGTACACCCAAAACATGATTAGCCCGAGGCAGAAAGGTCCATAAAAGTCCACAAAAAACGTGTCAATATTCCTCCATACTGCTCGTCCAATGTATTCCAAGTGTCCTGAGTGGGTAGCATCCATAATTTACTCGAAACGAAGTCATTTAGAATGTTTTTAGAGCATAAACAGTAGTGTATAGGATTTCCTAAAAGCGCGTTCACGAGTCTACGGAAACCGCGGCAGACCAAACCAGATGAAAGTGCGCATTCAGCGTCTGCTCTGCCGATAATGCAAGCGTAGAAGAAGAAATGTGCTGTTTACCTGTGCAAAGAAAGAAACAACGAAAGAAAAATGTCTGAGGACTTCAGTGTTGAGGAAGAGCATGAGTTCTTTGCCGAGCTGAATGCGCACTTTCATCTGGTTTGGTCTGCCGCGGTTTCCATAGACTCGTGAACGCGCTTTTAGGAAATCCTATACACTACTGTTTATGCTCTAAAAACATTTTAAATGACTTCGTTTCGAGTAAATTATGGACGCTACCCACTCAGGACACTTGGAATACATTGGACGAGCAGTATGGAGGAATATTGACACGTTTTTTGTGGACTTTTATGGATCTTTCTGCCTCGGGCGCCATAGACCTCCATTATTTGAATGTCAGCAGACAGCAAGAAGCCTCCCAGATCTCCAGATGCATTTGAGATATCAAAAAAGTACTCCAGAGTGTTGTTCAGCATGGGGGTGAGTAGAAAATGAAGGCTAATCATGTTTTGGGTGTACTGTTCCTTTAACATTTATGTTTTTTTTTTTGTTTTTTTTTCAACTATGGCATTGCAAGTCTGTGATGGACTGGCGACCTGTCCAGGGTGGACCCTGCCTCTCGCCCGTAGACAGCTGGAGATAGGCACCAGCACCCCTCTCAACCCCACTTGGGATTAAGCCTGTAAAGAAAATGGATGGATGATGGATGGATGGATGGATGGATGGATGGATGGATGGATGGATGGATGGATGGATGGATGGATGGATGGATGGACGGACTTTTGCTCTGAATCCCAAAGCATCACCCTTAAACCTTAGATTGCTCCCCCTGGTGCTGAAAGCTACCCACTGCTCCCTGATGGCTTAAATGCAGAAAACAACATTCCTTATAATGTACATTTTCCTTGGTGGCTTGTTAGCATTATTTTTATTGATGATGTTTGAGTCGCTTAAACTTAGACTTTCACTACATTTATTGTCATTTTGTATAGGCAGAGTTTATATAAAATGAAATTTCATTTTTTAAAGCTCTCATGACATTTCCATTTTCTTAAAGTGCAGCAGTGATCAAATGTAAACGTTGCAAAAAATGCATTGATATGGTCAGTTTCATGCAGAGTCTGTGGCATGATTTAGTTTTTTCAACATTCAGCTGTCTGACGGCGGTGGGGAAGAAGCTGCTTCGGAAATCCTTACATTATTTGCCTGTTACATGTCAAAACTAATGTTTTCCCAAGTAGTTTATCTAATTAGGACTGTTCCTCTGCCAGGATATAC